TCTTCTATCTTTACTTTAGTTTGTTATCCTTTGTACCGGGACAAACAGAATTATGTTTTTATTCAGACATTGTATTTAGCATTCTCTAGACATTCGTGAGTTTGTGACTCCAGTTCTTGGGTAGAGTTGTATTGAACTTCCGCATTGTTTTCCGTTTATTTATATTTAAGACTTCCGCTTTTCTATTAAATGTTTCGTTGTTTTTATTAAAGTCGAGGTTTGCTAAAAGAGATAATAAATAATTGGCTTGCCTAGCTCCTAATAGTAGGCGCCATCACAACTCCCGAAGGTGGAAAATCCGGATCGTGACAAACGGTGAATTAGGAAATGAAGTTTTAATTGATGTAGTGCTAAGACTTATGAAGGATGGAATCCTTCAGTTTCCAATCACAATTGACAACATCAAGGCCATTATTATTGTGAGTCTTATATAATGCATAATTGTATCCTCATTATTATTCACGCATGCATGCACTTTCATTCTTAAATTTGATAATCATTTTTGGTACATAGAATGTTGATATAGTCTCAGGTAGGACATCCGATCATGGTTTCGTAAAGAAATTTACACATTAAAAGGGTTATAATTAAAAAAACAATTCAACCACAACAACATAGTTTTTCTAGGGTAATGTAATAATAGCTAAATATCATGTTTTGAAAAATAATTTTGACCTTGAAGTTATAAGAAATTAAAATATTTCAGTAGAAATTGGTGAAAAGATTATAAATATAAATAGCTAGCATTCACGACAAATATCAAACTCGCTCATAAATGCAGGTTTTATTCGCTGCTGGAACAGAAACTTCATCGTCAACAGTTACTTGGGCCATAGTAGAAACGATGAAGAATCCAAGTATACTCATCAAAGCTCAAGCTGAGGTAAGAGAGGCTTTTAATGGCAAAGAAACTTTCGATGAAAATAATGTAGAGGAGTTGAAGTACCTAAAGTTAGTCATTAAAGAAACTTTTAGACTCCATCCTCCACTTCCACTGTTGATTCCAAGAGAATGTAGAGAAGAAACAAATATAAATGGCTACACTATTCCTTTAAAAACCACAATCGTTGTTAATGTTTGGGCAATGGGAAGAGATCCAAAATATTGGGTTGATGCAGAAAGCTTTAATCCTGAAAGATTTCAGCATAGCACTATGGATTTTACTGGTAATAATTTTGAATATCTTTCCTTTGGTAGTGGAAGAAGAATTTGCCCTGGAATATCATTTGGTTTAACTAATATTTATTTGCCACTGGCTCAATTATTGTACCACTTTGATTGGAATCTTCCTACAGGAATTACTCCAAGTTAGTTGGACTTAGCTGAATCGACTGGATTAGCTGTTCTTAGAAAGAGTGACTTTTATTTGATTGCAACTCCTTATTCACCTTCACCGGAGTAATTTGGTGGCATCAAACATGTTTTAAACTTATCTTTTCTTCTTATTTACTTATACCCATCACCATTGTACTTTCTTTCCTGCTGTACTTTATGTTTTTACTTATTTATAATGCATCTGTCTTATCTATAGAAAAAAATGTATCATTACAATTATACATAGAGAATTTCAAATAAATATTTTTCTCTGTTAAATTTTGGAATGTAATGAATGGGGGTTGTAGTTACTTAATTTATTACATCCCCGTATAAGAAGTATAAACAAATGTATCACTATATTCTATTATGTTCGTCATCCCAATCCCCAGATTATATTGCTAAGATGTGTTTCATAAGCTAGAATGAGTTTTGAAAGTTGGATTACTTTCATTTAGGGTTAACTCTATAAATATATCCTCAAAGTTAGCAACAATTTTCATTTAAACACTTTTGACTTAGACTTGTTCTAGTTGAGCACTACAACGTAACATCAGTTAAAGTGCACTTCAACAATAGTAATCTAGCAAAACATTCAATTAAAAAAGGGGGTTTTGACACAGTGACCCACAAAAATAAAACTATTTACCCTTGTTTACCCATTTATTTTCCTACCTATAAACTAACTACATTTCCTACCCATAGTAGGTTTTTGTGGGGAATTTTTTCTTTATTCTCCAATTCTTTTTTATTTCTATGCTTCTTTTCATTTCTTTTTTCTTTTTTTTTCTCCATTTTTTTTCTCGTTTTCTTCTTTTTTTCTTCTTTTTTTCTTTTCTAATTTTATTTAACTTCTATTGTTTTATATTCTTTTTCTCTCCATAATCTAATTTCATTTACTGTTTTCACTATTTTTTATTATTCTTTTTTTATATTATTACAAAAAAAAAAAATTGTGTACCAATTAAATGTAATTAATACAACCAAAAAAATATTAACTAACATATGATACCAGTATATTATATAGTTATACCAACAAGGTATACAATTGTACGCAAAGAGGTAGAACTTTTTTAATTCAATTATTAAACTGAAATAATATCAGTTGTCAAAAAAAAAAAAATTAAAAATTCTAAAAGGATCTAATTGTAAGACTATACCGTTACATCATATAGCATACTATAAATTTTTTTTTTTGCATTTTCAGTTTGCCCGTCACACATGGGTAAAAGCTCAAAACAAATTAAAAGGGAAAAGACAAGTTATATACTATTACAGCATATTGCTACAGTATCTTGCATATTATTACAGTATACCATAACAATATATTGTATATTATAATAGTATAGTGTTGCAGTANCTGCTCTGATAGGGTATGTGATTGGGGAAAATCCGTATGAAAAGGCTATGGAGAATTATGTGCTTAATGTGTGGAATTTTGTTACAAAGCCTAAGATCCTTATGCATGTTGAGGGGTACTGTATTTTTCGATTCAATTCCATAGCGGACATGGATCTAGTACTGCAATCTGGACCTTACACATTCAGAAACAAGCCTGTGGTGCTTAGAGTCTAGGAAATTGATTTCACTTTCAACAAAGATGTGCTAAGCACAATTCCAGTGTGGGTGAGGTTCCCAGGGCTGCCGGTGGGATTTTGGTCTACTGAAGCACTAAGTAAAATGGCTAGTGCTATTGGTAAGCCATTATACACTGATCGATTTAGTGCTCATTATGAGAAAATTTCCTATGCTAGAGTATTAGTAGAAGTGGATGCTGCTCATATACTCCCTGATCAAATTGAAGTAGAAACCCCTTATGGCCAAATGACTCAAGACATTGAGTATGATTGGAAACCTAGCTTCTGCAATGAATGTCTAAGATTTGGACATGACTCAATGGATTGCTGGTATAATGTGAAAGAGGAGAAGAAGCAGGATCAAGGGGAAGAAGCTGAAGGAGAGGAAAGGGGGAGAAGGCAGAGGAAAAGGAAAAAGAGGCAGGGGAAGATCATAAAACAAACTTAGATTGTTAAGCAAAACCAAGAGAATGAAGATGATCAACCTACAAAAGACACTATGGAAGTAATACAATGTATGAACAGAACAGCAGAAAAAACAGGAGGAAATATAATATCTAGAGGTGATAAAAGAAGGGAAAGCAACATAGCTGTTAGTGTGATCATGAATGCAGGAATGCAGGGACAGAATGAAAAAGGAAAATCTGAAGCTGTCTACATTCAGAAAGAGAGAAGTGGTCATCAAGTTGAGCCTAGACCACCTGATCCCTTAAAATTCAAATGATAATTGCTACACGGAACATTAGAGGGCTGAATCAAGCCCTCAAGCAAAAGGAGGTGAGAGCTCTTATTGCTAAAAATAAAATAGACATTATGGGCTGTATTGAAACTAGAGTAAAAGAGCATAAGGCCAAAAAAGTGCAGGGGAAAATAGCAAAAGGATGGAATGTATGCTGTAATTACCAATATGCTGTGAATGGTAGAATCTGGATCTTATGGAGAAACACTGTACAAATGCAGGTGTGCCACATGACAGATCAATACATTCATTGCATTGTGGAGGATACTAGAACACAGTTTAAAACTCATCTTAGTGTCATTTATGCTTAAAATGATGGCAAAAAGAGAGAAAAGTTGTGGAATGACTTGAGACAAATTAGTATACCAGATAAGGAGACTTGGATATTATCTAGTGATTTCAATAATGTCCTGAGTTCTGATGATAGGATTGGATCTCCAGTAACGACTGCTGAAGTTAAGGGATTCAAAGAAATGATTGAAGATCTGCAATTGACACCAGTGAGAGCAACAGGATGGCACTATACATGGACCAACAAGCAAGATGATGGAAGTAGAGTATATAGCAAGATTGATTGGGCCCTGGGGAACTATCAGTGGATACAACAATATGGCCATGTAGAAGCAGACTACATGAATCCCTTAGTCTCTGACCACTCCCTTATCCTTATAAAATGTGGAAAGGTCAAGCCCCTACACCCTAAGCCATTCAGATTCTATGAAAATGTTATGGAACACCCTCAGTTTTGCACTATGATAAAGAGAGTGTGGGAGCAGAAATATGATGGTGAGCCTATGCAAAGTGTATGGGGGAAATTGAAGGAAATGAAGGAACAATAGAGGGGCATAAATGCATATATGGGATCCTATAAGCAGAAGCTGGAAAAAGAGAAGGAAAAATTAGAGATTGTTCAAAGCCAAATGAAAAGCAGGTCAATGGATACACTGTTGATAGAGGAGGAAAGGCAAACATTAGAACAAGTAGAGAAATGGAGCAATATAGAGGAACAAGTGATCAGACAGAAAGCAAGAGCATTTTAGATTGAATGTGGTGATGCTAACACTAGGTATTTCCATGCTCAATGGAAAATCAGATCCAGCCAGAACAATATCACATCCATATACACTGACACAGGTATGAAAATAACAGATGCAAAGCTAGTTGAAGGAGAATTCATAGAGGTGTTTCAGTCTTTAATGGGGGATTGTACTACTGAATTGCCATGTGCCAATACAGAAGTGATAAAAGAGGGACCTTGTTTAACATTGGAGCAACAAAGATTACTAATTCAGCCAGTGACAAATCAGGAGATAATGGAAGCTATTAAGGACATGCCAAAGGACAAAGCACCAGGGGTTGATGGGTTTCCTGTGGAGTTCTTCACAAGAAACTGGGAAATAGTGAAGGAAGATATATTTGAAGCAGTGCAGAACTTCTTTGAAACTAACAGATTGCCCCAGATGATCAACACAACAGCCATTGCTCTAGTGCCAAAAGTAAAAATTCCAGCAACAGTCAAAGACTATAGATCTATAGCTTGTTGTACTACTTTGTATAAGATCATATCAAAGGTACTCACAAGAAGAATCAAAGGTGTGCTGAATGGTTTGATAGATCAAGCTCAGTCTGCATTTATAGAAGGTAGAAGCATATTGGATAACATCATGCTAAGCCATGAGTTGTTCAAAGGATATACTAGAAAAGGAGTATCACCAAGATGTGTGATGAAAATAGATTTGAGAAAAGCATATGATACATTGGAGTGGAGTTTCCTGAAGCAAATTCTGATTGATATGGGATTTCCTTGTAAATTTATCTCATGGATAATGGCTTGTATTACCATAGTCTCTGACTCACTGGTACTCAATGGAGGATTGACTAAACCTTTTAAAGGGAAAAGAGGGATTAGGCAGGGTGATCCTATGTCCCCTTACTTGTTTGTTATAGCAATGGAATATTTGAGTAGAGAGCTAAAGCAACTGAAGGAATGGAGACTTCAATTCTCACCCTAAATGCAGAAAATTGAATAGTACACATGTATGCTTTGCAGATGACTTACTGATATACTATCGAGCTGATATGACCTTTACTCAAATTGTGAATGAAGCATTTCAGAGATTCTCCAAAGCATCTGGATTGCAGGCAAACATCAGCAAGAGTGCCATATACATGGCTGGAGTGACTCAGAAGGAGAAGGAAGACATTCTGCAGACACTGGGATACACTGAAGGTAAACTACCATTTAGATATCTAGGAGTGCCACTGGACTCAAAGAAGCTGAGTATAGGACAGTACTTGCCACTGATAGAAAAAATCACAGCAAGGATTACCTGTTGGTCAGCATGATTATTGTCTTATGCTGGGAGATGCCAGCTGATAAAATCAGTGCTCTTTGGAATTCAAACATATTGGGCACAGGTGTTCATATTTCCAAAAAAGTGTTGAAAATGATAGAGACAATATACAGAACATACCTTTGGACTGGAAATGTAACAGTGTCCAGGAAGGCCCTAATAGCTTGGGACAATGTGTGCAAACCAATAGTTGCTAGGGGACTGAATATATTAGACATAAAAGTGTGGAATAAAGCTGCAGTTACAAAGCACCTGTGGATCTCAACAGGAAAAAGGATTGCTTGTGGATAAAATGGGTACACAGTTTTTACATAAAGAAGAAGGAGCTGGAAACAATGAATACTCCTAAGGCAGCAACATGGGTTATCAGGAAGATTTTTGACAGAAGAGAGGAGATAATGCAGCTGACAAAATTGCAAGGTGATTTGACTCAAAGATTAGCTAGTGTGTGCAGCAATGGAAAATTCAAAATACAGCATTTGTATAAGAAAATGGTGCCAGAATACAGTAAAGTTGCATGGAGAGGAGTAATGCTACATCCAGGTGTGCATCCAAGATTCAGATTTATCTTATGGCTTGCAATGCAAAGAAGATTAGCAACTGTGGAAAGATTGATGAAGATAGGCATCACTGTCCCAAATGACTACACTTTCTGTAAACAAACACAGGAAACTTTCAACCATCTATACTTTGAATGCTTGATCACAAGCAGACAATGGGCTAAAATGTGTAAATGGCTGGGGTATACAAGGAAAATAGGAGAATGGGAATGTGAATTGAAGTGGATCAATACTATAGCAAAGAGCAGGAAAGGTTTAAATGGCATCACTTGCTGCATATTTGCTATGATGGTTGCTGTGATATGGAGGGAGAGAAATAGTAGCAGATTCGAGCAAAAGAGGTATGATGCAGCAGGTCTGCAGGGAGATGGTCCAACATGTCCATGTACGAGGAAAGAATCACAGTAGATGGAAAGAAGCATTGAAGCAGCAGGATTTTTTTCCTTGATTGTAAATACAACATATCAGATATAGCATAGTATAGGATTTGTATTTGATATATGATGCATAGTGGTAGTAGTGAGTCAAAACTGC